GGGGGGGGGGGGGGGGGGGGGGGGGGGGGGGGGGGGGAGAGAGAGAGAGAGAGAAACATCAGTTGATTGCCTTCCTTAAGCTCTCTGACTAAGGACTGAACCTGAAACCCAGGTATGTTCCCTGACTGGGAATTGAACTGGCAACCTTTTGGTGCACGGACGATGCTCAACCAACTGAGCCACTCTAGCTGTGCAGTACTTTTTAATTTCTATATTAATCCATCACTATTTGTAAAAAAAAAAAAAAATCAGGCTTATTGCTAAATATTATTTTAAAAGCTGTAATCTAAAAACCATACTGTGTGTTCTTAGGTGATCTTTTTTCTATTAAAAAATATACCAGTTCCCAAAAAATACATAGAATGGTAGCAAATTATTGCAAATCATGTATCCAATAAGGGACTTGTATCTAGAATTTATAAGTACTATTACAATTCAGTAATAAAAGACAAATAACCTAGTTTTAAATGTGAACAAAGTATATGAATAGACATTTCTCCAAAGAAGACATACGAATGGTCAGTAAGCCCCCAAAACGTTCAATATCATTAGCTATCAGGAAAATGTAATCAAAACTGTAATGAGACGCTGCTTCCCACCCAGTTGGATGGCTGTAATCAAAGACACAGATAATAACTAGTGTTGGTGAGGATGCGAAGAAGTTGGGACCCTCACGCACTGCTGGTGGGAATGTAAAATGGTACAACCCTTTGGAAAGCAGCCTGGCAGGTCCTCAAAGAGTTAAACAGAGTTGCTACATGATCTAGCAATTCCACTTCTAGGTATATACCCAAGAGAAGTGAAAACATATGTCCATTGAAAAAGCTTGTACAAGAATGTTTATAGCAGTATTGTTCATCATTGCCAAAAAATGGGAACAACCCAAATGCCTATCAGCTGATGAATGGATAAGCGACCTGCGATATATTCATATAATGGGATACTGCTTGGCAATGAAAAGAAATGAAGTCCTGGCACAACCTGCAACATGGATAAAGTGTGAAACCATTATGCTAGAAAGAAGCCAGTCACCAAGGACCATATATTGGGTGGTTCCATTTATATGAAATATCCAGAATAGGCAAATCTATAAAGATAGAAAGTAGATTAGAGGTTGACAGGAGCTGGCAGGATTGGGGGTGACTGCTAAGAGGTACAGGGTTTCTTTTTGGGGCAGTGAAAATGGTTGAAAATTGATTGGGGTGATGGATGCACAACTCTCTGAAAATACTAAAAGCCATTGTACTGTACACTTTAGATGGGTGAACTGAATAGTATGTGGACTATATCTCAGTAAAGCTATTAGAAAAATACACCGGTGCTTAAGAGAAAATAAAGTGAGTTCTTATTTGTCTGTTATTATGGAAAGCTGAGCTGTAATGCGCAGGCGTTTATTAGAATTCATAACTTAGATTTTCAGACCCGAGTCAGCTACTAACACATTGGAATAGCACTTGTTCATCCTGAAGAATGTGATTAGGAAACGTGATTAGGAAAATCCAAAGAGAAATGACACCAGGCTGGGAATATTTTAAGCATTTTCCACTTTGCTGTATGACAGGTCTCTGAGTTTAGAAATAAACCTCCATTTTCCTCATCTAGTACTTGGCTGCTGATGTTGCCCGAGTGGGAACTGAAGGTGGGACTTTTCATGAAGGAGTTCCTAGCTGGAAGCTTTTCTCCTAGGGGTCTATGTGTCCAAATGCTAAGGAGGAGATGGCTCGTCCATTAGCCTTTGAATATTAAGTCATAGGGATTTGAATCAGCTTTTATTGGGTAAAGGAAGTGAGTTTCCTTCCCACTTGCTTGTGTTTCATTCAGAATTCATCAGTTTACTTTGCTGTAAGAGTACATGGTAGGCAAATCTTTACTTAATGATTTACTGACAGATGTTTCTCGCACTGTATAGTTTTCTATCCGTTTCAGCTTACAGTTAAGGGAGGCACGGCTGAGAAATGCAGTCTGTGTTCCATTTAGGCTGGTGCTTTATGTCAGTCCCATGCGAGTGCCTGGAATGGAGAAAGAATGAGGAATCTGGGACAACTTTCGTTTTCCTCCTGAGTCAGGTTCTCACGGTGGCCTCCGTCTGTTTGTTGAAGGATTGTACATTCTTAGCCAGATCATCCCTCAAACTCTCATGTTTCAAGACAAATACCAAAGCATATCCCAAAACCACATATAAATGAATTTTAGATTGGCTGTCATTTTAGATGATTCACACCGCTGCTCCCCTTATTACCACAAATCATTCCTGCACACCTGTCGAGGGGACAGGAAGCTCTGGCTCAGTGGGTGTGTCAGAAATAAATAATACATTTAAAAAATTTCCCAGAGAGGACATTATTATATATCTTGAAATCTCAACAAGGACATACCTCACCACAAAGAGTAGGGATGCTGCCCGGCTGGGGTGGCTCAGTGGTTGAGCATCGACCCATGAACCAGGAGGTCACTGGTTCGATTCCTGGTCAGGGCACATGCACGGGTTGAGGGCTCGATCCCAGTGGGGGGCATGCAGGAGGCAGCTGATTGATGATATTTCTCTTTCGTTGATGTTTCTATCTTTCTATCCCTCTCCCTTTTTCTCTAAAAATCAATAAATACATTTTTTTTAAAAAGGAGTAGGTGTAGGAATGCCGATGAGGGTGACACCCTGTATCCTGTTAGCCACCCCCTCTCGCGTGACTGTACCCGTTTCTCACAGAAGCTGTGCTGTGCGACCACGTTATGGTGTGTTTTCAGAGGACACAGGTGATCTGGTTTCTTTTGCAACCTGACCCTCTGAGATCTTTCAATTTAGTCCCGTGTGTGACAGATACGTTATTTCTTTGGTGTTTCTACGATTGATGTTCTTGTAAATCCCTTAGGAGATTTTAATACTGCTCAATATGTATTTAAATCTGTATTTAAACAATAAGAAGTATGACTCTTGGCAGGAATTAATTGTGTATTTGAGAATGGCCAATAAAATGAACACCTAAACAACTGCATAGAGCAGGCAAGAATAAATCTTTCAAGCAAAATGTACCTGTCTTCATCTGCTCCCTGAGTAACTGGTGCCAGGGAGCCAAACCGCCATTAGTTTGGATGTTATGGATTAGTTTACTGGAGAAGCTGATTGTGATGCCAGCATGGGCCAGGGAGAAGCTGATTGTGATGCCAGCATGGGCCAGGGAGGGCATTCTGTCTCTCTCTCCTGTCTAAGCCTGTCATCTGCAGAGCCCCTGAATACAGTCTTACAAGCACCAAGCACCGCTAGCGAGTGGGTATTTATGGCAATAGGAAGAAAAAGCTGATAGAGGTCTCACCTGTATTTGTTTTCTCTCTCCCATCTCCTGCATCCTTCCCAGGCAAAAGTAGAAGAAAAGATCCAAGAGGCCTTCAGTTGTTACAAGTTCAACCACCTTATACCAAGGTAAGCTGTGGTTAGGATTTTGAGGGGATTTGGGAGACACCACCTCCTGTGGGAGCCTCTCTTTCCTCCTTGAGCTTAACTAACCTTGGGGGATGAGTCTGCTGGGAGAATGATGTTTCTTGACCTTGTGGCCACTGGCTTATCACCCCAACTCCTTCCTCCACTAGATTGTTGTTCAGAGATGTTCCACTTTCACTGAGCCGTCCGCTGTCATGAGGACACGCCTCGAGGCCTGAACTCTGAGGTCTGAAGGTGGAGAGGGGAAGTTCATGTTTCTCTTGCTTAGTTGTGAGCTGCTGCTCTGGTGTTCAGATGAGAACCCTCAAGTCTTTCTTTTTCATATTACACTTTGAAACAGATGTAGGGTCTGGGGGGTGGCAAACAATGGGTTCTTCTGATGTATGTTATTGTTTGACTAGGAAAATGTGAGGAGTTTGAGTTTCTCCCAGCCTGGCCCTTGTTGGTTGTGCAGCAAATCCCGTGGATGAAACATAAGGCCTTTTGTTTTCTTTGGCACTAAGCAGGTTGAAGTCTTCTAAGCTCTTTGATGTCAGATATTCCAAAAAGGGGGCTATCAGCAGAAACTTCTTACTTTATTGGAACCCTTATTTTATCTTCTTTCTAGTGTTGTAATGTATCACACTAGGATACAGTAGGGTTATTTCATTCCTTTATTAGCATTTCTCTTTTAGTCATAAACTGTTTCTCCGAAACCATCCTGCGTCATATTTCCAGCCATCAGAACGGACTAGTCGTCCAAAACTGTGCGGGGTCATCATTTTATCTTAATGATACAGTACTTTCCCTGGACAACCTCTGAACAAAGTGTAGTTAGGCTGCTGGCTGATTCCCTCTGGGTGGGAAGCTGAGGGTCTGAAGTCCGGCCTGACCACCTCTGTCGTGTCTCCCAACTTCCTGAGACCTCCTAACAGGCTGACTCCTGGCAAGTCACTCCCTGGGTTCCTTCTACTCACTGGGACATTACAAATGTTTCTAGCCCGAGTTAACTTTGTGTCTTTCTTGCCACCATTCTATTTTGCCGCTATTTCCTTGAAAAATTTTTTTTTCTTTGAGAAAATTAGCCAAGGCAGAAAATAAAGGCAAATTGGATTAAAGGGGAAGATAGGTGGGAATGTTGCCTTTACCTTCCTTACCTGGGGAAGGAAAGAAGGAAAGTATCCACGGACAAGAGGAGTGTTTCCCCAAACTGCTGAACTAAATCTCTGCATTGACGCAAAGCTCAGGCCTCATTAAATGAATTATTGCTCTTGTCATGAGCCATGGCCAGAGATGAGCAAATAACACCGTTTGTATAAATATTTTGGGGGAAAGGAACTCTCTGCCCAGCACGGGCTGTTTTCTAGAGGTGGTGGGACTTGGTGATGATGAGGGGTGTTAGCAGTCACATCACCGCTGACTCACTGGCTGGGCTCTGAGCCACTGTCTACCGTCTTCAGCTCTCTGTGCACGTGTCCTTTGTGTTTCCAAAGGGACCTTGGACCATTTGGCATTTCTTGTTCACTCACCATCGGTGTAGGGCCCTTGGACTTTTCTCTTATTCTTACTGAGCTGTGACGGAGAAGGGAGGTTATGGTCTGGGAGGAGGAAGAGGTTGTTTTTTGGGATGGTGGTGGACAATAGAGGGCTAAAATCCCCTGATTGATAGGTCTTAGGTCAGATGTGGGAGGGAAACAAAAATGTTCCTCTTGGGTTTGGATCCTTTGTGGACATAGAATATATCAGGGCCCTGGGTTTATTTCAGGAATCTGACATTTCCCATTTTATCAGTGTCACTCCTGACACGAGTGTTTTAAAGGATGCTAATGAGCATCTTATTATGCCACACATGCTAATTAATATTAGAGATATTACATTTCGGCTGAATGTCTGAGCATATACATCAAAATAAGGCTGAAGCCAAACATCACCGTCACAGAACGAACTTATAGAATATAAGAATAAATCTGAAAATTCATCAGAATTTTAAATTATAGTCACAGTTTCAGTATTTAACATTTTAGTAATCAGATTTTAAAAGTCTGACATTGTGTTGTAGGAACAAACCTTTATTGTTGGCTAAAGTGAATATGTAGGTATTAGCAGTAAATCTAGGTGCTGTGGCCTGTTTATTTTTCTGAGGTCACGATGCTGATCAGATGTGAGAGAATCACACACACTCCCAGGGCCACTGGCCACATGCAGGACCAGGGATGCCAGGAGTGATGCTGAGGGAGGCGTTTGCCTATTCAGCCTTCAGAGCCACAGCCAAACAGCAGACCTGGCTGGAATTAATGGCTGAGGCTGGATGTCAGTACAGTCTACATTATTCTCATCCCAGAAATGATTTTACTCTCTCTGTAGGACTGAAACTTGCATCCTGTCCTAGATGAGGTGGTCTGTCCCAAGGAGCTTTTGACTATGCTTTTAACAGTGTTGTTCAGCAGTATCCTGCTTTCCTGGAAAGTTAAATTTTCCTTCCCCATAGTCATTCTCACTGTTCCACACACTTATGAATTGACCCTTTTCCATTTAAAACATACCTTTAGTAAGAAATCTGAAATGCATAAACCAAACACACACATCCCCTCTCTCTTTCCCTCTCTCTCTCTCCCTCTTTCCCTCTGTCCCCCTCGTTGTTTTCTGGAGGAGATGTGGCTAGTGGTCATTGGAAGTGAGAAATACTGACAGTGGCCCTGTGCTAGTAGAGCACTGAAGGTTGTGTTGACAATTGCCCTGAAGTCAAAATACTCTGAGTTAAAGCTCTCAGAGCACTTCTCACACAGGTGCCTGCCATGCATCCATGCTTTTCTACCATTTCTGTGTGTGATGCTACCTTAGAATTCCCCAAATCCTGATCACGTGCAAGATGTAGTTCTTTGCACTGTTATTTTCAAGTCCCTCCTTACAAACTCATCTCCCTTCCTACTCTCCCTCAAGTGACTCATTACTTACTTGCCGGAGGCTTACTTTCTGACTGGAGATGCCACTGGCTTTAGTCTCTTTCAAACCTTCCCAGGAGCCAACAATGGACTGAATCCCTGTCATCTCACCTGTCACAGCCAAAGGCCCGATTCTCAGGGATGGTCCAGGTTTAGGGGAGGAAATATGTTTGCTGTCATCCAGCCTGCCATATTCATTTAAAGTCATGCATTCCCTTACTCCTTCAGCAACAGTATCTAGGGGGTCCCCAAAGGGCCAGACACTGCTGGGCTCTGGGAACAGTGAGCAAGGCCGGCCCAGGTCCTGCTCCTGCCAGGCTCTCAGTCTCACTGGGGACGTGGCCATTAGACAAACCAGTGCAAGTATGTAGTTACCAGTGGGATGAGTGTCAAGGAAGAGAATGGGATGCTCAGAGAGAGAGTAAAAGGGAAGATGTAGTTTAGGTTGGGAGTCAGGGAAGGTGTTTTAGTCTGTTCTAGCTGCTATAACAAATTTCCATAGACTGGGTAGCTTGGATAACATTCATTTCTCAGAGTTACGGAGGTTGGGAAGTCCACAGTGAAGGCACCAGCACATTCAGTTTCTGGTGAGGGCCCACTTGCTGGTCCATAGATGGCCATCTTCTCGCTGTGTCCTCATATGGGGGAAGCCGTGAGGGAGGTCTCTGGGGTCTCTTTTATAAAGGGTACTAATCTCTTCAAGAGAGCTCCGCCCTCATGCCTCAGTCACCTCCCAAAGGCCCCGCCTCCGAGTACCACTACATTGGGGATTAGCATTTCAACATATCAGTTTTGGACAGAAACATTCAGTCTGTAGCAGAGGCCTCTCAGGGAAAAGGCCTCTCCTAGGCTGAGACCTCGAGGGTGAGGAGGAGGTGGCCAGTTTTGGAGGTGGTGGGAGGGGTCCAGACAGAGGGAAAGTGTGAGAGGGAAAGAACAGAGTGCAGAGAAGGCTGAATGACTGGAGCTCAGGAGACGAGGTTGGAGAGAAGTAGTTGGAGGCACATCTGAAGGGTTTTCAAGCCCAGTGGGCTCAGTCATAATAAATACAAGGTACCTTGCTGCCCAGCACGTATATTTCTAAGTTCTTTCTCCAACAGTGGAACTGGACTCCCAATACCCTTAATATATTCACTTATTCGGTGATTCCTCTTGTGGGCCCCAATTTCAGGGCCCCCTGATCCACTTGAGCATGGGCACCTTGCATTCCTCTCCACCGCCCCACTCCTGTGCAGAGCCTCTCTGGTCCTGCTCCACCTAATCGAATGTGCCCTTAGGGCTGAGTTGTTCAGGAAGGAAAGGGAAAGAGCTTTAGCTTTTCTTTTTTACACTTCCTTACAACCTTTCTTCCCTTACAATCACCACAAACACCCTTAGATTGTGGGTTTGGTTTCCTGCCACCAGCCCTGTAACCACCCAATCCGTTCAGTACGCTGAAAGTCGTGTAGTCTGGAAAGTGACAATCTGACCACGTCTTTCCTGTGCCTGAAATACTTCGGTGACTACCTTTTAAAAATTGTTTTTCTTTTTTTGTAACAGCTTTAATGAGATATAATTCATATATTATACAATCTCACCCATTTAAAGTGTACAGTTAAGTGGTTTTTAGTATATTCAGAGTCTTGCAGCCATCACCACAGCTAATTTTAGAATATTTTTATTGCCCCCAGAAAGAAACCCTGAGCCATTGCCCTCCAGTTCCTCCATTTCACTTCCCACCCCCTAGCCCCTGGCAACCACTTAATTTACTTTCTGTGTCTATCAATTTGCCTATTCTAGACATTTCATTTAAACGTAATCATACGATATGTAGTCTTTTTGTGACAGCTTCTTTCACTTAGCGTAGTGTTTTCAAGGGTCATCCATGTTGTAGCACAGCGACCCCTCTGTGCTCTTCAGTTTAAAATCAA